TATAGCTTAACTCTGGCTAACCTCTTGGGTGCAAGCTACAGTACAGATTTTCGCGCTGCTAGAGTGTATGGGCCCGAGGAAGAAGAAGGGGGCAAGAGAACAGAGAGAAAGGAAATAATATAGAGAAAGGGGGACGTTCTCAGCGGAACGGGGGTGGGGCCAAAATATTTGTGAAAAGGGGGAGGAAACCAAACGTACAGGCGAATTCAGTCGGTTCTTAAGATTAGGCTGGAGAAAACTCTTCTCCTGGTGCTTTATTCTCCCCCTTCTTTCTTTTGGGTGCTGTTACTTTCTCTTCTTCTCCTATTTCTTGATTTATTTTACGCAGGAGTGTTATGTGGGATAGAGGCATGGGAGAAAATATACGGGGACTGTCTCCAAAATGATGGGTGAGAAACTCCATTTTCCAATGCCCACCCAAGTGATTGTGAGCGTTTTGATTGTTATTGTTTATTGTTATTTTATTTTATTTTATTTTATTTATTTTGGTAAATAAATATGTGACTAAGCGTCTAGCGATGAATTAATTCTTCCAACTTGACCATATATTGGGTCGAAAGAGCCCCTTTCTTAAAAACCCGCCACAGACCCCACACCCTCCCTCCTCCCCCCAAAAATAAAACAAGAGAAACACCTGTTCAAAACCTAATGTGGTATATCTAAAAACAGAAAAAAATAAAATAAAAATAAAATAAAACATAAAGTCAAGCAAGGAAGTAACCTACACCACCGCAAACGTCGATGCAGACTCTACCTTCTCCGCCAACATGGCTTCAATCTCACTTACGTCAAGAGTCAGTTTAAACTCAAATGAATCATCCAGAATCTTAATATTCACCGAATTGGCCGCACCATTAAACAGTACAGCAAGCTTCAGCGTCTTCGAAGTAGGTCTCGGGAACCAATGGCTGTCGCCGCCGGACCTGTTGCCGTGCAGCGTCGACTTGGCGCGCGTGTTGCCTGCATCGAGAACCTCGAAGACGTCGAACTCGCCGCAGCCGGATATCCAGCACGAGCATTCGGGTTTGCCGTACTGGAGGGTGCGGGGGATGGCGGCGTTGAGGATCCAAGCGGCAGGCATGTCCTCGTTCCAGCCGGTTTTTCCCGTGTTGGGCATGGAGAATTCGGTGAGGAATAGTTTTCTGTCGCCGTCGAAGCCGTCTATGTGGGGATTTTCCGGGTTAGGTTATGATTTACATTATTTTGCGTCAGAGAGGAGGAGGGGTTGAGGTAATATAAGGGAACATACGGTAAGCAACGGTGCCGGGGCGGACAGTGCCACAGTCGCCATTGCACGGCTTGTCCGTCATGATGACGATTTCTTTATTGTCAGGCAGCAGCTTGTCAGCGAGGATCATGGGGCTGGCAGCACCATTGCAGCCATCTGTAGATGCGTAGGAGAGCGAGTTTCCCAAGGCGCTGCGCAAGTCAGTAAATACCATAAAGAAAGCAGAAAGAAAAAGGGGACGAAAATTAACCACCCCTCCGAGTAGAATGGGACCACGTAAAAAAAGAAAAACATACTAATCAAAAACACCAGATTTGTCACCTCCATGATGGTTTAGGAACACAAGCCCATCAGCTTGACCCCCTGCGGAATTGTAATAACCCTGGCGGCCCCAGTTTCCGGCACCTGGATCGACAATCGGTGAGGGATACTTAGTCGGGTACTTAGTTCCTTCAGTTCCTTCAACTGGGGGTGAAGCGGGGGCCGGAGTTGGCGCCGGAGGAGAGGCACTGCCGGCATATTGGTTGACCCAGGAGACGACTTGGCCGTTGATGGTGGCAGTGACCATGTCGCCGACGGCCCGCTTATCGTTGGCTCGCTTGTGTAGGTGCTGGTGGCCGTGGTGACGGCGTTCATGGATGCTGGGCCTCACTTCGCGTTTGTTGTAGTTATCCGAGCCGGCGCCAGAACCAAGACTGTAATAGGCGAATTGCTTCAGGTTGATAGGCCCGCGGAAATGCCAAGAGACCTGTTTTTTTTCTATTCGTTAGTTGTGTGTTCAGAGTAATGATATACATATCAATATATGTACTGTACATATATGCATGTATATGCATACTCCGCCCCATCTCCTTACTCCCAGATCAT